ATTAATTTCTTAATTTACAGTAATTCACCTACATGGCATCATTTTTTTTTTCATTTTACCAACAATCTTTCAGTTTCTGAAACATCAGATTTCCCTAAAGGCATCTGACTTTTTACTTTTTTCATATTTATTGTTTTCCATCAGTTACAGAATATTGTACATAACAAAACAATCTGATTCCAGTGTCCTAGCTTGATTGGACCTAATAATGCTCTGTTCTACCCCTCTGTTTTAGAGACCTATTCAGGATACCCATAATAAAATAAGGAGATGTGGTAATGATTGCCAATGAGACACACTATCCACCCTAGTTCACCGGGTTTAGAATAGCCAGGTTTTGTTGTAATTTTATACACATCTAAAACTATTGAGGCAGAAATTTCATTGGATTACATAATAATTATCAGAAAGTAGATTGGAGCGGTGGTCATAACCTTCCTCATCAGGAATTTAGTACTACAAGATCCATATTTCAATCAGATTACAAGAGAAAAAAAAACAGAAGGCAAGACATGAATGCAAGTGCAACTTTTTGTTACATTTTTTCCCAGTAGCCAGCGTTTTCAATGCATGAAGATACAAGAATCATAACTTACTGCTTCATTTTTTTTTACCATATTAACCCACCATTTTTTTTATGAGTATATAAAATGATTCAGACACAGATTTTCTTTTTATGATATCATCAAAGGCCTATAATATCTTTTTTTATTATTGTAACACAGTAGACACAAGTCATATATTCAATTTAAGTAAATAAATAATAAAATATCAAGATGTTACAATAAAGAATTTCTGTATGAGTCCTCTGTGATAATTATCAATCAACTGTCAATAAAATGTATCTTGACCCGATTCACTGAGTATCTATTCTAAAAACTCATTGTACTTTTCTTTCAAATGAATATATTAATTTTATCATTAAAACTAATCACACGTGGCTTTGGGTTTTTTTAACATTCAACCACGAACTCATGATGTATTTTATTACAAATAATCATCTATTTTATGGGTTTTTACATACATTAGCTAACTTACCCAATTATGAAAATATTAAAAAACATATTAGGAAAGTAATTTTTGTAAAATATTTCAATTTCCCCTATTTCATCTGATATTATCTGATGAAGGATCTAACCTAGTTGCTTTTATAAAATTATTTCATTAATTTTATTACTTACAAAAAGTGCAGATGTATTTTAGGATGCCTTCAATTATTTTTTCCAGAAAAAATTGTTAATCAAATGACATTTTTTTTGTAATACAGTCATGTGAAATAAATAATACCATAATATCCTCAATTAAATTACCTTTTTAACTGCATTTATTATCAGAAAAAGATTCAATTCAAATTAAAATGGTTCATCATTAAAATAGCTAATTAAAATAGAAATTTATAAGTATTTAGGGGAACCATCCACTAAAATACAGGGAATACTGGTAGTTTTTCTCAAATGTTGTAAGATTAACAGTTTACAGATTACGGCCCAAAATGGTACAAACCATAATTACATATATTTTCTGATCTAAAAGATTCTCCTTTAATTTTTCTCAGAAAACACATATCAAATAGACCAAGGTTGATAAAACTTTGGTAAATAATTAATTAAAATGAATTATGCTGTATTCTCAATCAGACTAATAATACTTTAATAAATTGTCTAAGAATTTGATAAAAAAAAGATTTTTCTTTTATATTGGATAAAATAAAAATATTCTAAAAATGTATGCTACATTCTAAATAAGATTTTGATAAAACTTATGTCATTCTTTTTATTTTACTTATATTTTTGACACATAACAGAACTTCTTTTTTTTTATAAAAAGCCTCCCTGTCGTGACCTCCCCTCTTTCATATCAGTGACTAATTAATAAGGCCTGATTTCTGTTGAATAATAACCTTCCAATTCTTATCAGAAACACTATTCAATAAACTTTGTTTTACTTTTTTCTATATGTTTAATTATGAAAAAGCATATCTTACGATCGACAAGTTCATTACGATTGATTACACTCACAAAATTATCCTTTCAGCAGAATGCACCTTTCGTCTGATTTAGAATTCTGCGACCTTTTCTGTTTGATAGTATCACTTCCCTTACAAACTGGTCTATGGTTTGCAATGCAGGGTTGAACAAATTCATGATTATCTTTACGCAAAATCTTACAAATTTGTACAAACAAAAATTTTGGTTTAAATCATGACACGAGCATTTTTTCTCTTTTTAAATTTTCAAGTATTTCTATGAAGTTTTATCTCTAGCAAATATTAAAAATCTTTTATAATTTCAAAGACTTAATCGCATTTAAGGCCATTTTACATGAAGTAAACAACAGATGAAAAGACAATTAATACATTGTATGCTTTTATATAATATATTTGAAAAAGTTAAAGCTTAACAAAATCAAATTAAATTTTCCACAAGAACAAAAAAAAGATTTTTAACACAAAAATCAGTAAGATCAAATAAGAAAATCTTTGAATATTTAGATAAGGATTTCCAGCTAGTTGACAGTAAACTTACATTGTCAAAACATTGTTTTTGCTGCATTAAATTTGAAAGAAACATGTTTAAAGATATTTTCTTTATTTCTTTTCTGATTATTTTCTATATCAAGCGACTCAACTGAGAATGCTTTTTCTCAGTCAAGTAGAAAGTACATTTGACGTAATATGCCAATGTCACTGATGTTGCCTAGGAAAATGGCAATAAACAGATTATCTATAAGACTATCGCCCTTCGATGAGATTTAAGCTGAGAAACTCCATCTCGTTTTCAAAACTGTATATAATTTGTAAAAAACATTGGTCTTTGAAGAATTATCAATCAAAATAACATAAGCAGTGCAGTGTGAAAGTAAGGCATTGAACTTTATAAATCAGGATTAAAGCAAAGAAATTCAGAATCTCCTTAGTGACTTTTGTGAGTAAGTTACAAGTTGTTATTTCAGGAAATTCGTTAAACAAATTATGTTACCAAAATTGAAAATGTGAGATTTAATTTTTGGGTAACCACTATCCTGTCCCAACTTTCACAATAGCATCGAATGAAACAATGAATCTTTAAAACACATGAATTTATAAGGACTGATGAAGCACTTTTTAAGAACCCCTGCCCATGACTATAATGTCTGTAACAGTACAAAGTCAGTCATGATAAGTCAAGCTGTTAGGATGAGATCTATGCCAATGTCCTAATTAAGAGTTGAATGCTTTAGATGGCAGAATCTCCAACACCTATCTATCTAATTTAATAAATATTCTGATATGTTATCCCCCTTTATCACAGAATGATGATGATCTATTGTTGTGTAGAGAGAAAAGGTGATTGACCAATCAAACTTATCTTTACTAAATCATAATTGACCAATAATAACAGGGTTAACATATTCTGTAACAAACTGTCTGTCAGAGATACAGGGAATGATTTACGTGATAAAAACTGGAGACTTTAATGAGTGGTTTATTCATAGTCACAAAATTAAAGGTTGAATGTCTATGTAATATAGGATTGTACTTTAGAAGAATTACATTAAGGTTTCTATTCTAAAGGGATCTTTTCATCACAGTCCATCTAAATCTAATAATGCCTTGGAATGCTCATTCTGTATCATCATAAAAATTTTCTATATGTCATGCAGCATCTGAATTTCAAATTAAAGGAAATTAACCAACAACTGGTTAGCTTGTTACGATTTTAGTCATTTGTTGAAGAAACCATTGTTGACCTATCTGTGCCTTTTGCTTTTTGTCCAGCCTGCGACTTTTGTCGCAAAAGCGAGACATAGCGATCCTACATTCCTTCTGCATCGTCTTCATACGGCGGCGTCGTCCACAAATATTCCCTCTGTGGTTAAAGTTTTTCAAATTTTGATAACTTTCTTAAACTATCCTAGATTTCTACCAAACTTGGACAGAAGCTTGTTTATAATCATAAGATAGTATCCAGAAGAAAATTTGGTAAAAAAAAAAATCCTGTTTATCCGTTTTTTACTCATATATGGACTTACTTTTTCTGCCAGTTATCATAACATTCACTCTGTGGTTAAAGTTTTTCAAATTTTAATAACTTTCTTAAACTATCCTGGATTTGTACCACACTTGGACAGAAGCTTGTTTGTGATCATAAGATAGTATTCAGAAGTAAATTTTGTTAAAAAAAAATCCTGTTTATCCGTATTTTACTTAGAAATGGACTTAGTTTTTCTGCCAGTTAACATTACATTCACTCTGTGGTTAAAGCTTTCAAAATTTTAATAACTTTCTTAAACTATCCTGGATTTGTACCAAACTTGGACAGAAGCTTGTTTATGATCAATAGCTAGTATCTAGAAGGAAATTTTGTAAAAATTTATTTCCTGTTTTTCCCTTTATTACTTATAAATGGACTTAGTTTTATTCCAGTTAACATTACGTACAGTCTGCAGTTAAAGTTTTTAAAATATTTATCACAGATTCATAAACCTTCTTGGATTTTTACCAAACTTGAACAGAACTTCTTACAATCAAAAGATAGTATCTAGAGGAAAATTTTTAATAATTTTTTCCCCATTTTTGTTGAGCCTGCGACTAACAACAAAAGTAGGCGAGACACTGGGTTCTGCAGAACCCTTATGAATTTTTTGTTATTGTTATGTTGATGTCTCATTTGTTTTTACCCCCTAAGCTTCACCTTAATCATAAGTTAAACCATAATTATCCAAAATTTTCTATTTGTACCTTCAAAAGTATATATCTGGAATCTAATTAATTAATTGCTTCAGTCTAGGCTGTCTGAATATGGCTCAATCAATAAGATAATGTCATTAGTCTGAACAATCTCCATTTTTCATTATCTTAGTGGATAAGTCAATGCTGGACATTATTGAACTCTGAACTTTTAATATGCAGCTGACAGTAAACTTACTGTAAGACACTGATATCCATTTACTGCTTAAAATAGGTAAAACAAAAATAATAAGTCCCTTATATCATTGACAAGTAGCCTTAATATTAATACCTGTTTAATCCATTCTTCTGTGCTCATCTTTGTCTAGGTATCAATGCCCTGAAAATAGACAATAACATTTTTATTTACTTCACAATTAACGAAATTCCACTAATGGCCAGATACCAATCTTCTTCAGGTAGAGTATAAAGCAGCTCCTGTTAACACACACATTTCTATGAAATACCACTTTGCAGACACCATCAGTTTTCATGTTTGAATTGTTTTGCATTTGTCATGTCAGAGCCTTTTATAGATTGCTATACAGTAAATTGGGTTCAGCTCATTGTTGACGGCTGTATAGTGACATATAGTTGCTAACTTTTTAAAGGGGCACTAGCTGTCAAATTCATGTTCACCGATTTGACTCAAATTCTCATATTTGATTTATAACAATGTAAAACATTTATCCAAACTTTTAAAAGTCTAAAAATAACATTTAACAGGACATGGGCATGATAACACATAGCTTCGTTTCATGTGTATTTTAGTCTAGACACCATCTAATTAACTATCGAGTTGACCTCCAAAGTCATCCGATGACCATATAAGCGATGTAAACATAAATAAAGATATAAATAGATTAAGCGAACTCATGCTATTGGATTTTTCTAGGTCTGTTTAATTTCATATTATAGATTAAAAATATATGTTTATCATCGTTTTTACCTGTATAAGAATGATTTTTTGTGGATCGGATCAGTCAATCAAATGATTTACCTTTGTTTCACGTTCAATGTTGACATTTTTTTCCTTTAAATAACTTTACACATACAATTCACGTGTTATCCATCTCTAGCTAAGGGGTTAAATTGAAGTTCACATGAATATGGATTCAATGAGGTCGAATTATTCACTTGCAAGTGAATAATTCATCATCAATGTTTCTTAGCTTATTTTGACAAAATTGAACCATACTCGACAGGCGGCTAAAAGCGAATAATTATTTCACTATTTCACTTTCATTAATGATTGAACAAAAAAAAATCATATATTAGATTTTTTATGTATCTCGTAGCTAGTGCCCCTTTAAGTCCTTTTTGTCTCTGGTGGAAAGTTGTCTCATTGGTAATATTATACCACATCTTCTTATTCTTATATAGACAAACAGTGGGTTTTCATGCACTATAACTAATGTGACCTTGAATATATCTATAGAGTGTTTTGTTTTTAGAAGTCTTTGACCTGCTTGTTGATCAAAATCTTTTTTAATCAAGCTCATAAGAAACTGACAAATGAACTTTGGTAAAAGAATATATAATTACCCAAATTCCTTATTTGTTATGCATCTATTGTCAATTAATGTACACTTAACATCATCTGACATTAACTTTGTAATATATTTCTTATATATCATATTACAAAGTCAATGTGCCTTAAATTCAAATAAATCTGCTTCTAACTCACAATTTTTCAACTAATTGAAACTTTCAAATTCACATTAACAATAGATAATTAAACGACTTAAAAATGGTAAAATTGATCTTTTGTAATTACTATACAGAGGAATTGGAATACTTAATGTTAATAAGTCCTTTTTTATGTAAAATTCAAACCTTTTTTAAAATTCATATCTTGTTTTGTAGCTTGCAGACAAGGTTGTTTAGTGACCTTGATAAATTTGTTTTGCTGTGCGGGTTTCCTTGACGTTCATCGCACAACTCTTTTTCTATATTGAGCATCACAAATTTAAGTAATAGAAATTCAAAATGCCTGTATGATGCATTTAAAATTATATTCAGCATCTTAAGGCCTTTAGTTTTCTCTTTGAATTGTTTTACACTTGTCATTTCAGGGCCTTTTATACCTGACTATGCGGTATGGGTTTTACTCAATGTAGAAAGCCATACGGTGACTTAAAGTTGTTAATTTCCGTGTCTTTTGGTCTCTTGTGGAGATTTGTCTCATTGGCAAACATACCACATCTTCTTATTTTATATTTTGATTGATTGATTTCGAGGGTTAACACCACTTTCCATACATTCCATAGTGGTTAAGTCACAGTGGTGGAAGAAACTGGACTGCCCATCAAAACAAAATGACCTTGTACAAGAAAGGGAAAATCTTAATAAAATGATGGTAGAAAAAAGAAGCAAAATGAAAAAAAAATGATATGGCTCCATGCATTCACCAAGGGTTCCTGTTATGCTGGTGACCAAATCTTTGGAAGAAAAAAGAGCAACTTTAAGAGCCTATGAACTGAATCGCCTTGAACAGAGGTCAACATTGCCTGGTGAGTGGCAATCTTACTTTTTACCTATAAGATCTGTCATACATACTCAGCCCACAAGCCAGAGAACACTAGTTACTGGGGAGGAGAATTATTTTATAATAATAAATGCAAACTAGAAAATTCTAAATTATTTGAGTGTACTCACTGCTTTTGACAAAAATCACTCAAATTAAAGAAAAATCTACCAACTGTGTTACCTCAAAATATGAACAATCATTTTTTATTGGGGTATTTAATTTAATTTAGTTTCAACAGCTTTAGAGTACGTGGTTTCAACTTGGCCAAGCCACTACTGTAATCTTTCTATTATGTAATTTCTGTTCCCTACTTGCGTGAAATAATTAATTGAAGAAATAAGTTGGAAAGAGGGACGAAAACAAACTATGGAAAGAAATGTATGATGACCAACACTAGGGTTTATATGTGTAGACAACGAAAATGAACGTGGAATAAATAAACTCCGTTTAACCCCGCCGCATTTTCAAGCCTGTCCCAAGTCAGGAGCCTCTGGCCTTTGTTAGTCTTGTCTCATTTTTAATTTTAGTTTCTTGTGTATAATTTGGAGTTTAGTATGACGTCCAATATCACTGAAGTAGTATACATATTTGTTTAGGGGCCAGCTGAAGGAGGCCTCCGGGTGCGGGAGTTTCTCGCTGCATTGGCTGTTGTCTGCTCTATGGTCGGGTTGTTTTCTCTTGACACATTCCCCATTTCCATTCTCAGTTTTATCATCATAGATACCAGGATTGAAATTTTGTATTTGCGCCAGGCGCGCTTTTCGTTTACAAAAGACTCATCAGTGACACTCGAATAAAAAAAGGCTAAAAAGGCCAAATAAAGTAATTGAAGAGCCTTGAGGACCAAAATTCCTAAAAGTTTTGTCAAATACAGCTAAGGTAATCTATCCTGTGTTTCACCAAAAACTTATGGAACAAGCTGAAGTAGCTTTACACTTTACCCATTTGGATGAAAAGAAATCACAATTTGCTGGTAACTTGTTACAAGTATCCTGCCTTGTATTTATTTAACCACAAATTGACTTTCTGGTCAGATTGTAAAATTTTACACTATAAAACTAATTATGATAAAGAAAACATCTATTACTTTTCTAAGATTTTATCATGTGTCAAAGTTAATAGCAACTTTCATTTTCTCAAATTTACATCTTCTCACTGAATGGTTTGAATGGCTAAAAGGTTGTTTTAAGAAATATAAATTTCTACAGAAATTGTAAACATTAGAATCTTAAAGTGTTGAATAAGGTCCTTTGTATCAGCATTTTCAAATTAAATTTTAGTTTTCAAGGTCATGAACAACTTTATGATTTGTAAAATAATAAAATGTTTAGAATAATGCCTTGTTGAATATAGTCTATGTAACAAGTTTTTTGTAACATGCTAAGCAAAGTGACAAATTTTGAAGAATCACTAATTTTTAAATGTTTTGTGAAAACTACAAAACACAAGTTTTAAGTATGTTGTGTTGTTACACCACTGTCCCAGGTTAGGGGAGGGTTGAGAGCTCACAAACACATTTAACCCCGCCACATTCTTTATGTGCCTGTCCCAAGTCAGTTATTTTTCATGTCGAGCCTTTTATAGCTCACTATACGGTATGGGTTTTTCTCAATGTTGAAGGCCATACGGTTGCCTATAATTGCTTACATCCACTTCATTTTAACTTTGTAGGATAGTTGTCTCATTGGCAATCATACCACATCTCCTTATTTTTATAAAAATAGAAGATGTGTTATGATTACAAATGGGATTACAATCGATCCACCGAAAACTAAAGAATAAGGATATCAACATCTGAAGGTCATCGTACACAATGAGCAAAACCATTCCATTAAAGTAAAGCTATAAAAGGCACAGGGATGACAAACCCAAACCAAACTGCATACTTGAAGAATACTCATCACTTAAGCTTGCTGCATGCATACTGCAAGAAAGCATCATTATTTTTTTTATTGCAAGATGCACACTGCATGCTTACAATTAATGCCTGTAGTTTAGGTTTGGGAATGCAAAACAATTCAAAAGAGAAAACAGCCGGATTTAAGCTATGCATCTTTAGAGTTTTTATCACCAAATTACAAGTGAGTTGTTAGATTGAAACTAAAAATAAATGAAATAGACATAATAATAAAGTCTGAAATGTAATCAGTAAAAAACACTCAAAAAACTTAAACCTCATCTAATAAACCAATAGAAAACAATAGAAAACATTAATCATTTCATTACCGAATTATTATGTCCTTATAATTCAAGTTGTAAAATAAATAAGATATATTAACTAGCCTATTACTGTACCATTTAGATGCATACAATACAATTTAACACTACATCTCTTTCTAAATCTAATTTACCCTCTGTACTTATTGCCTATGTAATTACACAATTTTATGCAGCGCTGCCAAACAAATTAAATTTACTTTAATTATATAACAATCTTGCCTCAATTCTGTCTTTGCTGACCCAAAGTATTAAGTTTTATATAGAAATAGAACTTTTCTACCAAATTTCATTGAAGTCAGCTGATTAGTAAAACAACAGGTGCCAAACAGTATTGAAAGCCACTTCATAACGCAAAATACAACAGTGACGTTTTTTAATCAGTTCAGCTCCCCGTCACAGAAAAATAAATAGTTCTTTGGTGAAGGGAAGGAATTTTTTTTTTGCATGATTTAACAAGAGTTTTAGCTGTGTTATTTCCCTAAAGAAAAGTCAACAAGTTTTACATCTGAAAGTCCCGTCAGATCTATTTACAAATCTGATTTTACATTAATGATGAAAATATCAAAAGCCAATAGCAGGGTGATGGAATC